CCAAAATACCATAATTAACTTGATTCTTTCCCTCCTGACCCCTTTTCTGTTTCTTTCTCTAATCCCATCTTTTTCATTCTTTTCCTGTAAGAAAATACATTATTTTTTTACAGTATTTCCTAATAGGAATCCTATCTGTTCTTGTAGCATTTTATTAAGGAAACGAGCAGTAAAATCTTGGCCCCAGTATTATGTAATGTATATGCTAGTAGTCTCTTCTGGTGGGAAGTCAGGTACACTTCAATGAGAAAGTAACATTTTAGTTCAAAGCCCCACTCCATCCAAATTCCACAGGCTGAAGGTGTCATTGCAGGTAAAACCTTTTTAGTACACAGTAGAAAGCTTGAGTTGCATACTAACTCCCCATTTTGCTAAAAAATGTTCTTGACTGCTTTTGTGTAAGAAATGTTTCATGCAATAAAAACTTTCTTAAAATCCAAGCAGAAAAAAAAAGAAAGGTCAGAAGATGCTCGACCTGTGTATGTTTCTCATTTGAGTGAAAGAACACCATAGGTGGGGGTAGAGGAGAAGTATGCAAGATAAACTAAAATGTATAAAGAGTGCTGCTGACCTGCCATTGCTGTTAACCCTTTAATTCTTCCTACTCTGTTTCCTCTCCAGATTTCTGCCATCATAGTGCATCCCAATTATGACCCTATTTTACTTGATTCTGATATAGCTGTCATAAAACTCTTGGACAAAGCCAGGATCAGCAGTCGTGTTCAACCCATTTGCTTGTCATCTTCTCATGACTTGACTTCATCCACAGAGGATCTGAAGATAATGGTTACTGGCTGGAAGGTATTGGCTGACATTAAAGAGCCTGGATACAAGAATGACACCATCCGCATGGGAGTTGTTCAGATGGTGGATTCACTGTTGTGTGAGCAACAGTATGAGGATAATGGGATACAAGTCAGCATCACTGACAGTATGTTCTGTGCCAAACAAGACCACACAGCCTTTTCTAATATCTGCCCTGCTGAGACTGGTGGGATTGCAGCCATAACTTTGCCAGGAAAAGCATCTCCTGAGCTAAGGTGGCACCTGATGGGATTAGTGAGCTGGGGTTATGATAAAACTTGCAGCCTAGAACTCTACAGTGGCTACACCAAAGCTCTTCCTTTCAAAGACTGGATTGAGAAGAACATGAAATAAAAATCTGAGTCTGGAAACGGCATTTTATAGTACAATATCTCTCTCAGTCTCTGTTACTTTAGGCTTCTCATCCCAGTGATGAGACACATCTGGGATAAGGTTAAGGCAGACAGCCTGGTAATTTGTCCTAGGATCAGATATTTCATCAGGCTACTTTTACTTAACCCATGGCAGAGGGTCTTAGTGCATGAGAAGTTTTGTCATATTTTGTCTGTCTCCCCTGGTGGGAAGACGGTGCTCTGCTCCTGAATCTGACATGCAGAAGCAGGACAGTAAATTCTGTATGAAATTAATCTGTAGTATGGAGTTCCCTGGAGAAACTGATGATGAGCCTCTCCCAAAAATCTGTGTGACTGAGTGGATTATGAGTCTGGAAAGAGTAGCCTGAATTCACTACGGCAGATGAGCTTGTTGTGGTATGTGCTGTCTGTATTGCCACAGTACAATGTAATCTTCTTCCCTCCCAAGTACTTTACACATTTAAATAAACCATGGTTTGTTTTTTTAACCTACATACTCATGTCTGACATTATTTAGATCCATTGTTGCTATATCTTTGTCACACTCTTGGAACTCTCTACTGCCCTTGTCTCTTTGCATGTCACTCTCACTTGGGACTCTTCAGGAACACTAAAAGGCAGAATCAGTACAAAATTCGAGGACTATTTATATATATATAAGTATCATGATTTTTTCTTCTTAATACACCCAGTGCTGCTATTGTACGTGAACCACTACAATGAAATCTACAGAGGAGTTCCGTTTCACCTTGTATTCTAAATAAATGAAAACACAAAACGTATTTTAAATATGTTTTTTTCCAAGTAGGTTATTTAAAATAACTATGAAAACTTCAGGAAAACTTTCAGTTCCCATTAGTTCCCATGCATTTGTGGTAAAACTACTCCTCTGTAGCTCTTCAGGGTGAAGAATAAATAATAACATGCAGCAGGCACTTTTCTTGAACTGGGGCTGAACTGTTTGACATCAGAGGGCAAGATTCTCTCACTGGGCATGTTGTCCAGGGAGACACCTGGGTGTCCTCATGGTCCTTAGTCACTGTTCTTTCACTAAATCATTCTCTATTCTCTATTCAGTCATGGCTAAAGATTAGGGATTTCAATCCTATAAAAGTTGGGGAGAAGAGACAGTAATGACTGTCTTCCATCAGTGATTTCTCAGTAAATCGTGTATGACCCCTGGAGTTTTCAGGACCTTCAAATTATTACAGTGCCCAAACCAGCTTACAGCAGTAGCGGGATGTGAGGGCAGGGAATCTGATGAAAAGATTTAGTGCTCTTACCAAGAAGGACTCAGATCCTGAAGCTGTGTTCTGCCTATTGCATGGCCACGGCAACTTGAAGTTAGCAAGTCTGTTTTCAGCTCTGATTCTCTGATGCTGTAAAATCTCATTAAGAGTTTCTTAGCATTCAGTAGTTTCTACCCACTTTTGAATTTGAAAACTGCTGCTAAAAGGACAATTAGTATTGGACATCATTCCATGTAATTTCTTTTTTATTTTCTTGGCAGAAATACTTACTGTGTTATGCTTTTGCACTTTTCTTGTTTTCATTGGCAATGGGACCACATGATGTTGGTTAAATCAAAAAGTTTAAGGGCTACAATCAAAGTATATTGCTTCTCTTTATCTTGTTTGTCTGTCTTCTCCTGCCAGGAGATTATGCTTGGCCGACAAAATGCATGGCAACAACAGCGAAAAAATCCTGAATTAAATGTGAAAAACATGATGTGTTTCATTCCTCTGCCGGGAGGAACACATGCCAATGAATGTGTGGTACTCCCCTGCTGACAGAATGGGTTAGAGAAAATTAGGTGTCAGTTTTGGAGAAGCACAAACTTGCAGAAAGTCAACATGTGTTTCTTCCTAACACTATTGACAAAAAATGAAATGAGAAAGCTCTTTTGTGATTACATTAAACAAGAGTTTCTACACTCTAAATAATTATTGTATTATTTAATGGTAAACAGAAAGTATGAAGATCTGTGAGCCGGTTGTCTTCTGAGTTATGACACCATGACTGCATTATTGCTCTCCACTGCTACCACTGAGAGACATGAGGTCCTAAATGCTTTTTCCTCTCTTTAGGATTTGTCCAGTCCAAACAGATATGCAAAAGTCTGTTTTAATTCCAGACTTAGATCTCACTCTTCTTCTTTTACTAAAGATCATCTGTATTTTAGTATTTACTGGTCCTCTAACTGCTCCTCCGTGTTGAATCCCATCCCCATTTGGCTTCAAATCAGCTGAAAGCTTCTGGGCTTGGACAGCAACAATATAGCTGTTCACTAGCTGTATATCACACAAAAGTACATTCTTGAAGAGAAACTTGTAGGAATTCATGGAATTAAAATCTCAGGAGGTTGCTATAGCTGTGCATGCACAGCACTATTCAACCCCTTTTTTTTTACAGCCAGGATGCTCTTCAAAGAAAGCAGAAGCAAGAAAATAGCCAGACACCTCAACCCCAGGATTCAGATTTTAGCAGTCTTTTACAGGAGGAGGATGAAGTTGCAGCATTTGCTTCTATTTCTGGACCTCAATCATGTTTGAATGCTAGATTCAAATCTGCTATCTCTAAGTGGCCACATAATGTTTTATTTCTCTGGTTGTATGACATAGGTATTCACATGTGCAAGTGAGCAGTCATATCAACATATCCAAGCACCTGTACTACATCAAGTATTTCCAGGAATTACAAACCAGCTTGTCCATCCTTTTCAGTGGGGCTTACCCACTGCAGTTTCCTGTTTACAGAGTGAGCAGAACTATGCAGGGGTTAGCATCTAATGCCAATAATGAGGAAAAATAGAGATAAATGTTTGGAAAAAAAAGCAACGTGTGACCTGGAATTGCTAATCTCTCTGATAGCTTGGCTCTATTTTTAAGATGTAGAACTATTTCAAACGTCTCTTTCCAAACAGGTGAGGATCTGTGCCATCTGTTGGAGAAAGGGTGTGAAATAGCACAACATGGATAGCAGCTCATTTTCCCTCCAAGGAAAAAGAGCTGTGCATTCTGGAAAGGCCATAAGGATATAGCTACGGAAAGAGGAGAGCAAAACACTCTCTGCATTCTTATTCACTCCAACGAGTTTATGTTTTTCCTTTGTATGTTTCTGGGGCTGCATTAAATTACTTCCCAAAGCCACGGTGCTTAGCTGAGAAACAGCACTGAAAGGAAATGGACATAGTAAAGTACAGTCCCTTTTCAGACACCCTCAGTTACTCTCATAGAATTGCCCTTGTAAATTGTTCCTATTGAAAGCCTACGTCCATGGTAAGATTACAAAAAAAAAAATAAAAATTAAAAAATGTGTATTTGATTAGGACTGGGGATTGCGTGATAGGCTGCATCCTGCTATTTTTTAAGGGCAAGTAAATGGAATTGGCTCGGTTGCAGGAAAAGCATCCTGGGGGAGTGGGAGTGGTGCGGAGGGTCAGGCAGGCTTTGCTCAGCCGTGCAATCCCTGCAGCCTCCCAGCTCCTTATCGTGTCGGGGGCTTCCGCATGGCTGATGGCTTTCTGTGCCACCTCCTCGGTGCGGAGGGAACGAGCTGTGGCAGAAATGTTTGTTCCCTGTGAAACGGGACATCAGGTTGGTCAGGCTCCGATGGAAAGACAGCACTGAGGCTGGCGGGCAGAGTCCCAGCTGAGGGAAACGGGACCGAAGGTGTGTGGCAGTGTCTGGGCGTGACACGAGCGTTCCGTGTGCCAGCACGTGAGTGCGGGTACAGAACAGGACAGAAAATTCCGCCCCTACGCTGCAAAAATGCCTCGGGCGAACCCCGGGCCCGGGTCCGCCGACCCACGGCCACGCNCCGAGAGCCTGCTCTGGGACGGCGGGGTGGGGGAGAGCCGAGGAGCGGAGCTGCCGGATCCTCGCCCTGCGGAGCCCCCAGGATTACAAGGAATTGCGTGCTCCTTCCCAGACGTGAGCGAGGGTTATACCAAAGAGCCAACCTCCTTCGCGCCCTGCTGTCCAAATTAATCCCTTGGACCCTTGAGAAGACAGGGGGTTTTTCGGAGCCATGGCATCGACAGAAGGGTGAGGGGGACCATCTCTTGGGTGGGAGGAACGGGAGGATGGGGGAGATGCCCGGCATTGTTCTTTTGGTAACAGTTTCCTGTCATCTGCTTCATTGTTAATCCTTGCCCCTCGCCATTCCCTAACAGAATAATTAGGGAGCGAGAGGAAACGAGAAGCAGACGATCCACATATAGAAGACAGCGAGGGAAAAAATTTCAAATATGAGCCGCTGAAAAGGTCTTGGGTTTTCCTTCCCATCACTTCTTTATTTAACCCCTGGAGGGCAGATCAAGCTTAAACCACCTGCCTGAAAGAGGAGTACAAGTGAATGCTTCACTCAATAGGGAGGGGGGAGCTTCTTCCTAAATATAATAGTAGTGTTAATAAAAATAATAATAATAATAGTAATGCTAATTAATACTATAATTTAAAAAATAATCGAAAACCTGTCCCCCCCAGCCATCCCTTCAAAAGGCAACAAACAAATCCAACTTCTTGAGGAGTTGTGCAATTTTTCAGTTCTGTGCCAAATGCGTTAAAGTTCTAGCAAGAGAAATGCTGGGAAGGGCAAAGGGTTCTACAAGAGGCTTTAGAGAAAAGCAAACACAGTTCAGCTCTGGTAGTGTCCCTTGGAAGGAAACGGTTGTCCCTACCCATGCCAGGATTGCAGGAGTCTCCCGCTTCATGGCTCTCTGATGAGGTAGGGGGCTTGTTCAGTTTACAGACTTGCTGGTAGTAGGAAAGAAAAGATTTCGTGGATCTCTGCTTGCCCTCTTATAACACTACCTAGTATTAGACTGTGTTTAGTGTGAGCCTCCCCTTTATCCCTGGATGTTGTCATGTTGTATCAGCATGATCTGCTCAGGATAGGACTCTCTAAGGACAGAGTGCAAAAGAAAGCTCTGTTTATATTGCCTTTGTGTCTCTCAGGCTAAAAGACTTGCTGAGCTGATTTAAATAACCCAACACATGTCTGGGAGGGTGTGCACACAAGTGTCCCATTACCTGGTAAGAAGAAGAAGAAACTGGCTGGCTGTGCAGTGGCCCCCAAGCAGTTGATTTAGGAGGAATGGAAGGTTAGAAAGTATTGGTTTGGGTTGCTTTGGAAAAAAGACAATCCCTCAGTCTAAAAGAGGAGAAATACATAGGGCTCTGGCTTTTCACAGGACTGTGACAGAACTCATTAATTTATCATTTGCTATTGCCTTACCTTTGCAGGGAATTTCTGCTCTGAATTTGTACATTTTTGTTTCGGTGGCAGCCCAGCAGTTTAATCTGCCCTGTGTAGCATTTCCTCTATTTAACTAGATACTGTCGTCAGGTGATCAGAGACATGAGGAAGAAGTTCAGAGGTGGAAGGACCAGTCTAGGGTTGCAGATCTTTCACTTCTGTATCCTTGGACTTCTGCAACTATCCCTCTCCTCTGGATGGTTCAGTCATCTGCTGTTTGTATTCCCACATGAGGTGGCCACAGAGGTCTGTGCTTGTTTTGAACCAGTGGTGGAAGGTGGGACCAATTGTACAGGAGTTTAATAAGAGGTGGCTGTGTTAGAGAGATCTGTCAGCTTTGGATGAAAGGAGGTTTTAAATGTGTGTAGAAGGAGAGGTGCTTTCAAAGGAATTTGACTGAATAGGCAGGCTACAAAAGAGCAGAGTAACAAAACCAGAAAGGCTTCAGTAGATGCATGCTTTTGTTTTTCATATGGAACAGAGCTAAATTGTCAGGGTGAGAAAAGAAACTAGAAGTTTAGGCCTTGTTTTCAAGCCTTGTAGGAAATTTACCTCGACTAAGTCAAACTGAAATTATTGTTTGGTGTGATTCAGTTAGCGGTCTGTGACAGCTGAAGGAGGTGTGGAAAAAGAAGTTGAGTGGGAAGCATTTCAATTGTCAATCTGTGTTTACCAGTAAGAACCTCTTCCAAAACTGAATTCTCATCTTTCTCTCCACTCGAGTGAAAAGCTGAGGGTAGAGATTAGCTTTCTCTCTGGTGTAAAGGTCAGCAAACCGAGGCACCAAAAGGATCATCAGGGAAAGTGAATATTGACTGGACCTTGTTCAAGAAATGCTTTCCATCAGCACTGGCACAATATAAGAATGGTGGCAGAAACACTGCTCTGCTTGCAGTAATGGGCACTACCTCAGGCACACACAGGTACATGGAGAAGGGTCTGCTGGAGGTGGGAACAAAGGGATACGCTCCATATTTACGTCTAGTTGCTCGTGAGATGTTCTGTTAGATATGTTAGCTGAGATCAAAAGTATATAAAAGTTTTATTTTGTGGTGTTAAAACTGCTGCTCCAACTACAGCCATTTTTGTAGTGACTTACTACTTTTCTAACAGGGAAGCTTATGTAAAATCTTCAATGTGAGGATGTCAGGTGTGTGACAGGATGTTTAATGGACAACAAAAGGCCCTGATATACAGAGGAAGGTAAATCTGTGCTCCATTGTTAAGTCATTTGCAGACAAGATTTGGTAGGAAAGATTTCCTTGCCTGTGCCTTTCCAGTCATTCTTTTCTTTTCTTTTCTTTTTCTTTCAATATCTTATTTGATTAAGCTTATCCATGTATGGAAATTTGCTGCACAAATCTTTCTGTTCCAAGAGGATGGTCAACAATGGGAAACTTCAGTTGGAAGAAAATGAGAAGGAAGCGTTCAACAAAAACATTCAACACATGGCAAAATCAGACCCATGTGCCCTCTGGGTCTATCTTACTCTAGCTCCAGCTAGTGGGGTTTTGGTTTACACTGTATATTGAAGGTTTAGTCTTTCTTTCCCTGATACAGATCTCATTACTAAGACGGGTTTTTGGTGTTTAGCTGGTGCTGAAAATGGAAAATAGCCTGTTCAAGGAGGAAGGGCTGGCACCAGATATGGACACAGTTCAAGGTTTCTTGGTTTTATGTTCTGCTTAAACGTCCTCTGCTGGCCATGACTGCAGGTGGGATGCTGCTGGGAGACCTGGCTTTCTGATCTGTGCTGGCATCGCCTTTCAGTAGTGCTTAGCATGGTTCAAAGATCCCAGAACATGAGTCCATACCCACAGAATGTGGTGTCTGCTCAGTATGTGGTGGGTTGACCTATGGAGATTTACCAAAGCAGAACATTTCAACACTTCCTTTGCCTTTACAGGGTTACATGAGATTGACTCTGGTTGGTTGATGCCCATGCTTACCTTCAGACCTCTGAGCAAAGTCCTTGCTTCACACGGTTTTATTGTGGCTCTTATCTCACTCTCTAGTCTTACAAAAGGGAAAGAATAGAGTACCTTGCTACTGTTTTTCTGGTTTTGTATTTTTTTTAAAAAAACAACTCTTCCAGAGTGCTGATGTAGATACTCCAAAGATCTAGAGATGTGTTTGTATTTTGTATGCCTCTAAAGAGGAGGGGTTTCAGGTGTGAAGTTTGGATTAGGGTCCACTCCTTCAGGAATATAGCCACTAGGAGACACTATCACTGCATCTATAGAAGCAATTTAAACAGGCAGAGCAGGTGCCTGAGCTGGGAGCTCAGCCCTCTGTGTGCAGGTCAGCCTCAGGTCAGCCCCGTGCCTTTGCCTGGACAGCCCTCTCCCGCTCCATGGGCATGGTTAGGGAGTCAGCAGGGGCCAGTGGCCATTCCCAGTGCTCACTTTAGGTGTCATCACCGTATTTTGCAGGGGTTAATAATACTGATGTGGGCTCTTCCACTTCCTTTGGTCTCAGTTCTGGAGAGTGGTCCCAGGGAAGATTTATGAAAAGCACAGAGATGTCACTCATTCAGACTTGTGGTGCACAGCTAATGGGCACATCTGTGTGTGTGTGTGTGTGTTTGTGTGTACATACCCTGCTGCAAAATAAATCAGTGAAGTGTGAAACATTGCTACGTTTAAATAGACAGAAGTCTGGGAGATTCCTTAGTGTTGTGGTTTGATTAGTGAAATAGTGCTTCTCAGTTCTATAATAAAAATATAATATAATATAATATAATATAATATAATATAATATAATATAATATAATATAATTTATATTAATTATATTATTATAAAATACTATTTTATGTATAAAATATTATAATATATATAAGATGTAATGGAATACAATAAAATGGTGTTCATGTAATAAGGAATGACACAAATGCAGCGCTCCTGTTCTGCATGGCAGGTACAGAGATTCCCACCTTGGTATTTGACTCTATCGATATTTTACTTAGGAGGAAACAAACAAAAAAACTTCAGCTGAGGTACATTCTTTCTCCCCAAACTTGGTTGTTTCCACATTCTTCTATAGATACTCCTATCTTCATCACAAGTTGCACTGTCTCTGAAACTGCAGTCCCACTCTCAGGAGTGCTGTTTGTCTGTGCTACCAGATCACCAAACAATAAAAGTTTGGTTCGCATCAGAGAGCATATGATTTGATTTCTCCAAAATTTGCCATAGCTGTGGAACCCAGATAGATTTTATATTAGATGTAGATGGGTGGTTATTAGTCAACATAAGTTAACACAGGAGGCACAAATAATTAATACCTTACTGGCATAAAGCTCTGTGAATACAAGTTAACCTGTCAACATTTTTTGAACAAATTTGAACATTAAGAATTAATTTACTGCACAGGATTATTATTTTAGTCATGCAGCTGTGATGGTTTTGGATCTTGGAGCAGGAGTCATAAACCATTTGCTGCACTGTCAAGACAAAGCCCGAAAGGGAGATTGCCAGCATATGTTATGCACCTGGCCTGGAGACAACATAACACACCCAGGTGAGTCAGGAAAACTAACTTGGCATTTCATCGTAGGGTTCAGGCACCTACATAGGAGAGTGGGTTTTCAGGATCTGCCACAATATATACAACAAGCACACCCACACGTTTCTTGTCATCTGAGTTCTTTTTCTGTAATTCACCCACAAAATTCCTCTGCATAAAAACTTGAGGAATTATTCTTGCACAAATATTTAGATACTTCGGAGGATGAAATCTTCCAAGTGCGCTCACTGTTGTTTTTATGGAGGATTTGATATGCACCAG